CTCCTCCTCCTCCTCCTCCTCCTCCTCCTCCTCATCCTCACACCCTCTCCTGCCACTGACAGGCACTTTGGGAGCCCATCAGACCACCACTGTGCTTCATCCCGCAGAGAGGTTGAAGGATGGTGAAGTTTCCCAGGGGTGATAAACAGGTGTAAATGAGAGCCAGACACAGGAGAGGTGTAAGGATTTTTACCTCTTGTGCTGTGCTCTTCATCCAGGAATGCACACAGTGATGGTATGATGATGTCTCTATTTGTGATTTGGTTGGTGTGAAATACCACATGAGAATAGTGAGAAAGTTCCAGGGCTTTTCCAGGACCAGGAGAAAAGGCTGACCCTTTAAGCTTTTTTATTTTCCTTAATGTTTTCTTTTACATTTGCTTTTCTTCTCTTCTCCTTTTCTCTTTTCTTTTATCTTCTATTTTTCCATTCCAAGTGGGAGACGACAATAAAAAAAAAAAAAAAAAAAAAAAAAAAAAAAAAATCCAGAAAACAAAAACCCACAAGGTTTTTTATTCAGGGAACAATCACAATGGAAAAGCAGCCCCGTGCAGCTCACACCTGGGGCCAAAAGCAAATTCTTCATTGAATTAAATCTACAAATCGCTGAGCACTCAGAGCTGCACAAAAGGATCCCTCTTGGGACGGTTTCTCCTCAGTTCACTGTGAGAGCCACTCCATGCCCTGAAGCATTTGGAGAGAGCTTGCTTACACAGTTTTATGTAAATGGCAAAACATAGGCACTTCTCTCATTTACAGTGACAGTTAAATTATTTTTGTCTGTCTAACCTACACGTGGCAGCAGTTAGCTCCACAGGTTCTTTGCTTACCAGCATTGAAAGCATCAAATTTTCTATCCAGGATATTGTCATTTCTGTAGATACTGACACCGTGTCATGCTTCTAGGCTGGACCCGAGTCCCCCTGCTGTCACAAGTGTCACAAGTGTCAACAGCAGGTCCTGGGCTGGCGTTCTGCCCCTGGGTCATGGCCAAGTGCCCTCAGGTGGAGTAGCTCAGCCATGAGTTCATCCCTCCCTGCTGTTGCTGTTCCTGGGCGCTGTCTGCCTGGCACTGGACTCCATCTGGGACCAGAGGGARGGACCAGCATGCCAGAGGGAGCGGCACTTCCCACCCAGATGGGGAATTTAGCAGTGACAGCCCCACTCCACGTCACGCTGCTGCTGACGTCTCTGTGCCCCTGCCTGCAGCAGGGCAGGTGCTCTCAGAGACTCCCTGGCACCCTCCATTCACACAATTTGAGCCTCAAAGAAAGGAAGAAAGTGTTCACCAAACCCAGCTTGTGGTTTGCAACAAACACCGCTGCTCTTCCCCTTCTTGTGAGGCCACAGAGTGCACACAGACTTGGCWTATCAGGTATGATCTTTGTCTAGTCTGAGCTAAATATTCCTGCTGTCTCCTGACACACTGCAGTGTGTAACCTAAGTTCAAATCTAATTAATTTGGCCACATTCCTTCTAGAAACATTTTGCAGACCTGCTCTTTTTTACTTCCTCTCTGTAAGGTTTACTTAAGACTTCTCTTAGAGTAAGTTTTGTTACAAGACTCATGACATTCAGAATTTAAAAATACCTTGTAGTAATTTTAAGGATTAATAACTCATCCAGAGGAGTAAACAATCCTCATATGTGTTAACTTTGATAAAAAAGTACTGCAGATGAGACACTTCAAATTAGTACAAGAGACATTCAAGRCATTCATTATAAAGACATACTCCCCTAAACCCCAGGGCTATGCATTGCAAGCCTGTGCTGAGGTTTCCAGGGTTCTGGCTGCTGCATTTTAAAAAATTCAAAATTCTCTTTGGGTTATTTTGTGGGTTGTGTTAGTTGGGGGCTGGTGTTTCTCAAAGTTCCATATTTTCCTGTTTATATTCACAGTACATAAGTCTTTCAGCTTCACGCTGTATTTTCCATAGATTACAGAAAATAAAAATGATAACTGTGAAAGTTTAGGACTGAGAGARGTTCATGTGACCACCTGTCACAACAGAAATCCTCGATTTCTGCTTCAGTGTGCTCCCTTCCCTCCAGAATTYAACATTGTCCGACCTGGAGTCTCTTCTCTACTTGGACTTAACAAGGTAATTCTGCTCATCACGTTGGTGAAACCCCCTGGCCCTGTCAGAGACAGTTCTGGAGCTCAGCAGCATCTTCCTCCTTCACAGGGCAGCCACTGCCAGCWCCTTGAGACTGCCAGGAATTCTTTTGCTCAGCAGAGATTGATCCACTTGGGCGATACCCAGGCTTCTCTTCTGAGGACAATATTTACAGTGTGAAATATGCATTTTCCAGATATTACAACCTCTAAGACAGTAGTGATAGCAAAGTCACTAGACCACCTATTTATTGATTTTTCAATATTGATCCCTAGAAACTGGAGAAAGACATGTTTGGCCCTGGTAAATGGCAGGCTTTTTAAATAGGAAAAGAGGTTTTCCTGTAAAGTTAGATTTAAATAGCTCACGTCTCCTGAATCCCACAAATGCCTCCTCACACCCATCATTTCAGGACAGGTTTTTCTTCTCAGCAGAACCCTGTAATKACATGAGAATTTAAAAGTACTGGGCAAGTACCATGGAAAAGGACACTTTTACCCTGGTGAAAGCAACAGATCCTGAGTTTTTACAGATAGGAGATGCAGTTTGGGTAATCACATTTACCAGGAGAGCTTGTGAGAGGGGCCACTGATGGTATTTTGTACAATTTTGTAATACATTATTACAAACACAAATTTGTATTATTTGTATAAAACCAGTTTTGTATTCTTTGGTATTTTTATGTATTTATAAAATATTACATATTACATGTTATAATAAAATAATAAAAAATAAATAAAATTAATTATATAAATATATGAATMTATGAATATATGAATATATAAATATATATATAATATAAATGAAAATAAGTAAATAATGAAATACAAATATATTACATATTATACAATATGTATTTGTATAGTCTCTCAAAGTGTCAGATCAACTGAGTGTAAGACGGTGCCTTTCACAGCAACAGACAGCTGAGAACAGGCAAGCTGATGGGAAACCTGCTCATGTTTCTGTCTGGTACAGCATCTGCTGGCCCACATTCCCTGGACCATCTTAACACAAACAGGAATAACCAGTATGTCTTTTATTCCAGTGACAAATTTTGGCAGCCTAKATATCCTCGTCTTGGGCAGCAACCACATCTCTTCACTGCAGCTTCTTCCCAAGTTCCCCACTCATAACCTCAAATGCCTCAATTTTCAAATGAACAAATGAGAAATCACAGCAGCAGATGCCCAAGCTCTGCAGAAGTCCAGCAGTGTAACTCTCATCCTTAAAGGCAAWGACATTACATGCACTGAACTTGGAGCTTTTCAGTCCCCTTTCTGTAGTTTGGGTTTATGGACTGTGCTGGCATCCCTGGGGTGTGGAGACAGAATCCCAAAGCCCACCCCTTGTGGCTGGAAACACTTCACAATGGAAAAAGGAGCCCTACAAAAGCCCAGAATTTTTACAAAGCCTCTGTGGCATCTCCATCCAGGATCTCTCTCTGCAGTTACAGCACTTTAAAAATCCAAATGCTGACACATTTCGGGGCTTAACCAGGCCCTGAGAGTTGGACWGAACCTAAACCCACATCCATGAGCAGCCCCCTGGCATCAGCAGCATGAGTTCCTASAGGAGATGTTTTTCAACACAGGCTGCTTCGAGCCCCTCTGCAACACCAGCTCTGCTCCTTCCCCTCCCTCACCCACCTCCAGGTCAGGGTAACTCACAGCTTCTGCAGATGGGCTCTGCCTGTTTGGACAAACTGGCACAGCTCCAACATCTCCATTTCAGTCAGAGTCACGCTGACAGCTCTGTGCTTGCAGCACAGCAATGAGAGCTTTGAGCAGAYTTCATTACCTGAACCTGAGGCACAACACACACCTCCATCTCCAGGATGGGCTCACTCAGGACAGTGCTAGCCTACAGCTGCTGGACTCAGCATTCACTCCTATCCWTATGAACAATTCACAGAGCCCTTTCCAAAATCTGCATCTCTTGCAATGCCAAGTCTTTCCTCCTCCCACGTTAATAGTAGCATTCAGCCTGTTTCAGGGCTTGGAAAACCTCACGTTCTTGGACCTTAGTCAAAATAACTTTGAGCTGGGGATCATGCCAAAGGACAAACTGTCCCAACAACTRTCCGATTCAGAGGTGCTAATATTATCATCCTGCTAACTGACACAATAGGTAACCATGTATTTCACAGCCTCAGGAAGTTGCAGCATGTTGATCTGAGTTGCAGAAAACTTTCTGTATTCAGCACAGATGCACTTTCAAATATCAAGCGCATCTATCTCAGTATGCCCATAACAGGATCCACGTTGTACCAGGTGACCACCTTGTGCCCCTAGATGGCCACTGTATAATCAATTTAACTACAACCTTCCAGATTGTGCCTGCYCTAATACTGGTTTTTATCACCTGGTACAAGCCACATATGGACAAAATTGAAGACYCTGAAGGAACAAGGTGCTCTGAACCCAAACTGCTACCTGGGATTCAGCTGGCCACCATCTCACTCTCCTGTGGGACAAACAAGGCAGGACCATTGCAGTTGTCCTGGTTGTTTCATCCTGTGGTGCCATCTTCATTTAGAGTGCTCGCTATTTCAAGCAAAATTACCTGCAACTCTAAGTCTAGGATGGGGACACAGGAAACAACCACAGCAATTATTAAGTTGAATGCCATCTCAACTGTTCTAATTTGTGACTTGTATTTTCTTAACTTTTGTAATATCCTCTCTATCTGTATTAAAAGTTTAAGAAAAAAAAATGAAAAAATTAGAACTGAAAAAATAAACTATGATCTGAATCTTAAAAATTAATAATTTGTTGTGAAATCCCAATTCAATTTATTGGTAGCCATGTTGTACCACTACTATGGACAATGCACTTGAAAAGGGAAAACCCAACTGCCAAAATACAAACTCCTTCCTCTTTAAAAAATGAAAACCTAACCACCATTGCCAAAAAGAAAAACAWAACCCAACCAAATGACCCAACCAAAATTCAACCAAACAAAAAAATCCCAGCCAAAACTCCCACCCAACAAAATTCTACCCTCTTCCTCCCTGAAAAGCAATATTGTTTAAGAGCTGGTAGCAGTGTACCCCATTCTGCTATAAAGAAATCCTACCTGTGAAGCACAGACACATCTAATGTCATGTGAGACACACACCTGCAGGACTGGCAGAGACAGCATGTGTCACCTCTGCRATTTTGAAAAAATATTCCTTTAAAATACCTTTGACCCCCAGAGAATTCCTGTCCATTGAAATTCTATCTCAGCCTGGTACAGGCCCTGCTCCTCTGCTATTTTCTGGACTCCACAGTAGGTAAAGACAGTATGATCTTTAAACATAAAATTGCAGATTTGGTCAGAATCTGTGGGTGCAACACTACACTTGCTTGCACAGGGCAAAACCCCCAGTGGTGACAGATAGGAGACATTCCTTTGCCAGCCTGGAGTAGACCGCTCCTTTCAGCCACAGCCCAGGTGAGCAAAACTAGAGGCTGAAAAGGGGGCAGCACAGTGGACAACCTCATCCCACAGGTGCTCTTGGTGCCAACAGCTATTTCACATTGCTTCTGGTGTGCATCCCTGGAGCAAAATCAGGGATGGTGGTCCCTGCTTCAACTGGATATGCAACAGCTAGGCATGAATAAAGACTCATTATTTGTATAAAACCAAATTGTTTTCTCTGCCATCACACGTGAATAAACCCAGAGGAAGGCAGAGTAGGTGCATCTGACCAAGGATCAAATGCGAGCTTGTTGGGCCTACTTATCCGCCCTGTTTATCACCATGAAGTGATTTGTGTTTATTCAGTGCTTTAATAACAGGCTTTCTGTGATGGACAGACACGGCTTTTCTGGTGGTGTGCCCTCCTGTGTCCCTGACAGAGCTCACACCTCGCCGGGTCTCGCCCAGCACCGCTCCCTGCCGTGTTAGACTGCAGCTGTGGCTGCGCTGCTCTCCCGCGTGTGAGCCCAAAGCCCTCTCAACACTTCCCACGCAGGACTCCACCTTCAGCTTCAGCTCCTGCCCAAAGGCACGTCCTCAACTTTTTCTTCTTTAACACGTTGACTAGCTAAAATTTCAAAGATTCCTGCTCGACTAGAAAGTTTTTACTCATTTCTGATACTGCTGACAAGAACCCCTGAYTGATCTTCTCCAGTAAGAAATACCTCTCATTTGAAAAGCCCTTTTTACCCTCTGTTAGCAGATCAGACTCATGCAATGTGCATTTTTGCAGCTTTCAGATGCCTTCACATCACACACATCACTGCACTACTTGTCAGCTTCTCCTCCTGCTTTCCCAGCCATGAGCTGCCCGAGGGCACGCAGGGAGAGATGTCTGATGTTCCTTCTCCAGGTGCCTACAAACGCTCCTGGATTTGGCACACTGAAATGTTGCCTGTCCGTATTGCTGGTCCATGTTCCCCATTCCTGTGGCTGCAGAGACTCCTCCTGAGCCACTGGCAGGAGCTGTGCTAAGGCTGCCCAGCCTTACGGGAGCTGCACCGGCTCCTGCCCTCCAAGGGCTCAGCTACAGAGAACTGTCCCCGAGGAAACCACACTGCATGGGCTGAGCACACCCTGACTCATCCTTGGSAGCAAGGCAGGGACATTCCTCAGCTCAGCACAAGGTTCAAGGTGCATTTTCCTCTCATTCTGCAAACCCAGCTGGTTAAATGAGCAATCTCCAGTATCTTAACCATCCAGCACGATTGCCAGTGTGTGTCACCCAAGAAAGACCTGCTTCTTCCATTGTTTCCTTCATGAAATTGTGGGTTCAGGAAGACAAATGCTGCCATCAAAAGGGAGCATAACACACTCCACAACCACCAAAAAAAATTGATGCCAAGTATCAGGTAGTAACTGTGAGACTTTGTAGTTACATACAGCAGCAAGTAGAGGAAAAACTGCATGTTGGGCTGAACAGAATTCTGGAGTGTCTTTTTGTTTGGAGAGAGCACAGGATTTAACTACTTCCAGTTTCTGAAATGCTACTGTGTCATGGTGTAGACTTCAGCTGGGTAAAAATCACGGAGGTTTGAGAAGGCAACATGTATTTCCTGTGCTTTATAGATCTACACAGAGTATCACAGCTTTTTTGCAATCTGCCCCTTTTCCCCTACACAATTTGTTCTGGATGACCGTATCTTCAGGTGTTCTAATTTTACTCCTTGATTTTCCTTTTTACAGTGGAAGAAGAGACTGCACCTTACCTTAGATGGGAATGCTTCCACGGTCTGAAAAAGGCAAGCGTGAGCCTTGATGTCATCTTTGTTGTATTTGCCAGGAAAAATGACATTCCTAAGGCATGGTGCAAACAATGCTGAAGAGAATACACTGTATGCTTCAGAATACACAAACCCTAAATACTGAAGGAAATTTTTTCTGAAGGAAAATATATCTCTGGATATAATACACTAAAATGTCCAGATTATATAAGACTTTTTCAAGTTCAATGATTCAGTCTTCTGGGATTACTTAGTAAGGAATATACATGGAAAGAGGCAATAGTTTTATTGCTTCTCACAGAACTGTGCACCTAGTCAAGCTCTGGAGTGATGCACTCTTTTGGCTTCCAGTCAGGCCTTTCCTCTCTCACTTCTTTCAAATACGGCTATGAAGCCAGCACACAGAGAGAGCGAGGGAATTACCTGAGGTGAATGGTGCCTAGCAAGGTTCCCCTAACTCCTGGACTACAGGTCCCCAAAGTCACGGTACAACTCCACACCACAACACAGAATTTATCAGTGTTTACAAGAGAAGGCACTTGAGMATATCTTCATTAATGAGTAACATTTCACTGACTAGTAAGCACTTGGCTTTATTTCACTAGGACAAACCAAATCTCAGAGGCAAGTTCKTTCTTCAATTATGCTTAAGCAAGGTCTTTCAGTAAGATGCAAGACAATTTTTGAAGGATTTTACTCTGAGTAAGATGGTTTAATAGGCCAATTTTTACATATGCTGACTTCAAAAGCCCACCAATACCAATGAAACACCCTTTTAGAACTTTCTCTCATTCACTCATCTRTATTTCTTATACCTGGAAGAAGAGCAGGTGAGGTCCCTTCCCAAACAATCTACACTATACCTCCCCAATCTCACAAAAAMAATAGAAAATCTGCTCTCCCAGTAGCAGAAGACATCTTTCCCTACCAAGTCCCTTGCACATCCTCTTCACACCTGCATTTTTTAGGCCTTGATGTGTGCTGTAACACAACTGAACTATTACTATCTCCTTACTCCGCAGTCTCCTCCGCTCCTCCTGATGCTCCCAACTTTTTGCTCTTGAACTGTAACCTCCAGCATCACTTCCTGCTCATGGCACTGGAACTTAAAGGTCCTTTCCAGCACCAGCCATTCCATGATCCCTACACTCAGTTCATTCAAATGCATCCTTGGCAGCTATCTGGAAGATAATCTGGTCAGTTCTAATCACCTGYTATACCACAGATAAAGTTGGTGGAAAGAAAAACTGTTGCTAACCCAAGGCATGCAGTGRGACATGCATGCAAACATGCTCCCAAATTTTCCCATCCTATGATCTCTTCCTCATCTGCCWTTGGAGCTTTGACCCAAATCGGGTGTGACATCCCTCGCAGGCCATGTAAGACTATAAAAAGGGGCCTAAGGGGGTTTAGCAAATTGAGAGTTCAAGTGCTGAAGAAGGGAGCTCACGCTTGCCTTTTTCAGACCGTGGAAGCATTCCCATCTAAGGTAAGGTGCAGTCTCTTCTTCCACTGTAAAAGCAAGGATGACAGAACACCAATAACCCATCTCTCCTGAATTCCTCCTCAGTACAACCTGCACACAACACTCCTCTCCTCTGGCCCAAGTCACAATGGAGGCTCACTCCAAGCATGCAGGTTTCTGTCCYTTCCCCAGCAGAGGTGACCATGCTGTCCACAGCCAGGGACAGCACAGCAGGCAGAGGCAGAGTCTCAGCCAACCCTGAATTCTCGTAATTTTCTTTCCCTCAGCTGCTGGATTCTGCTCTTCCCTGCTCGATCCATCACTCTCCATCAGTACACTGGATTTGCAAGACTAACTGCCTTCTGCTGGGCTGCAACAAATTGGAAAAGTTGGGGGTGAACTGCAGCTTCCCCTCCTCACCTGTTCAAACAGAGCAAAGCAGCAAAAGTGATGCTGTAACACTGCTGCTCTTAGTTCTGTACAGAGCAAAAATAAGCAAAAACAATGAAATAATGAATTGTGAACACAAATTTCCAACTGCTGGGAAGCTTTGCAGAGTTACCAGCAGCGGAACAGTASAGAGATGTGTACTTTAATAGATGCTGCTCCTATGGAAATGAATGATGACGCCTGTTTTGCAGGAAGTATTTAAATGTCAYGTTGCAGGGTATTGCCCATATAAGCAAGCAGTCAGGCTGTGTCATCCACCACCACTGCACACCTGCCTGTCCAGCAGCAGAGCACAGCTCTCATGCACATCTCCTCTGTCCCCACATCAAACTGCAGTTCCTTGTGCAAAACCCTCCACCAGCATGTGCCTTAAGGGATGCACTGAGCTGGCCCACAAAAACCCCGAAACTGCCAGCCTCTGAGTACAGCAGAGATGTGCCTTGCATTACAGCAGCAAAAGCAGTTCAAGAAAA